GATGGATGGATGGATGGATGGATGGATGGATGGATGGATGGATGGAATCCAGGGTGACTCGACCATCTGATGTTTCTATCAAGGAAGCTGATCCTGGCTGGGATCCTGGATCTTGAGAGAAGTATTGCTAACTAGAACTCTAAACTGGTGTTTTCTCTTCTCTTTCTCTTTTTTTTTCGGGGGTCCCTGGGATTGAATAACACACCATAGAGACAAAGCAGACAGAAGATGCCTTCCTGGAAAGGTACCACAGCGGCTACAGGAAATGCCTGACCCAAGCTACCCACTTCCTCCGAGGCAGCCCGGGCATTTGCCCGGGCAAAAAAGCTTATTTGATGGAACACATTTGCCACTGCATGGAGAAAATCACGGCCACTCCCCGGAGGGAGATCCACCAGGCTCCTCCGGCCCCTTCCAACCCAAGCTATGAGTTGCCAGAGCGCTATGGCAGCCCAGAGGTGTTTGCAGGGTGCAGCCCGCCTCTAGGGGGCGCCGCTTATGTCCTGCACCCGCCTCCGACTAATTACCCTGCCAGCCAAGGACTCTCGGGCCGAGTGGGCGGCCCACCCCTGCCGCAGGGCCGCGGTCGGTCCCCGCAGAATAAATTCTCGGAAACGCGGAATTCCGCAATCGCACAGACTCCGCAGGCGCTGAATGTATGGCGGCCGTGGCCCTGAAGGATCCCAGCTCCCCTCCTTCTGCAGCTCCCTTGTAAATGTATATTAAAATCTCTATATATTGTATATTATGGGGTTTAACGGTGCCCAAAAATTGAGGATCTTCTTTCTTAGAGTGGTGGTGGAATATTTGTGTGCTTTGTTTGGTTTCCCTTCCTTTACCTCTTAACAAAAAGAGATACGAGCTGTCTTTTTGTGATTATAATTTTTTTTTTAAAAAAAAGCTTTTTAAAACAACAACAACCCACGAAAAACATCTTGTCATGAAACCAACTGAACTACAGACTATAAACATGGAAATCCTTCAGGACAGAGAAACCTTGTCCAGCAATGGGGTTTGTGGTGTGGAATATGGGTGTGGCGGGTATATTGTGCTGTCATTATGAGGTTTTTTTTCCCCCCTGTGGTTTTTGAAAATGTTACATATGTATTTTCTAGACTTGGCCTTTTTTTTTTTAATTAAAGAAGCCCACTGGCAGAACACTTCTGGATCCTGGCTTGATTTGAAATAAATGATTTGACACTGAGACAAAAAAAAGGTGTGTCAAAATATCCTCATATTGTGTGTGTGTGTGTGTGTGTGTGTTTGCGCACTATGCACTGTATACAATACTCAGTGTGGTGAAATGGATGCAGCAATGGACTAGAAGACCTAGCCCCCCCTGCTCAAGGCAGGAATCAAACTCAAGCCGGATATGATGACGAAGGGTTGTCTACGTTTCTCTTGAAGGCCTCCAGCATTGGAAGTGCTCACCACCTCCCGAGGTCATAGGTTCCATTGTCGTACTGCTCTAACAGTTAGGAAGTTTTTTTCTCTCTGATATTCAATAAAAATCTGTCTTCCTTTAACTTGCAAACTGTGCTGCAATTCACAAAAGTGTGGATGATAACATCATTAGCCTTTAAGGTGCCAGCATGTTTTTTTGACTTTTAATTTGCCTTCATTAAGAAAAGGAAAAGAATCTCAAAGCAGGGTACAATAAAAGCAGGTTCAATAAAATGAGCTGCTAAAATGTAGGAAGGCTACGAATTTCCACCTCTCTGATAATTAAAAAAAAATTCCTAAGCAACCAAACAAATTACAGTAGTTTTTATCCGAGTAACCCATCTAATTTCAGCAGGGCAAGATTGTCTCTAGACTAGTGCATTCTCAGCCTGGGGTTCCCCAGATGTTCTTGGACTACAACTCCCAGAAATCCTGGCCAGCACAGCCGGTGGTGAAGACTTCTGGGAGTTGTAGTGCAAGAACATCTGGCGGACCCCCAAGATAGGGCACCACTGCAGAGCAAGACCATTTACTGTAAATATTTTGTACCTCGCGAGACCCTATGAATACCAGGTCTTTCCTCGCTCCTTATTTTGGAAACCTCTTGCGTGACATTAAAGATCAGGGACCTCAAAAGCTTGCACCCTTCCTCGAGTCCTTTTTGCTGCAGCTGCAAAAGTCTAAGCGCAGTATAAAGGTTAAAAAAAAAACCCATCTGGGCCCGGTGAGAGGGTGTGTGTGTGTGTCTGTGTTCTCGTCCCACCTTTTCCTAATCACCTTTGCAGAATCGCACCCTCTCAAGCTGGTGAGTTCCTTCCCATGTAATAAAACACAACCACACAGACACACAAATTACAGTACATGTAATATACAGTACAGTATAGAGAACCACAATCGCAATTTCCCACTTATGAATGCTTCAAGGGAGAAGGACCTTCACCAAGCATTGGTGGTTCAGTGGTAGAATTCTCGCCTGCCACGCGGGAGGCCCGGGTTCGATTCCCGGCCAATGCAACGTAACTTTTCTTTTTTTTTTCCTTCCTCTCCACGGTTCTTTCTCCCCCCCCAAATATTTCTCCCCATCCCCCAACCCCATTCTTGGAGCATGCACCCGGACTAAAAAGCCTGCCTTAGCGAGCAGGCGCGTGCCCAGCGGCCTCCTCATCCTCCTTCCAGTTTGGAGGACATAAATCCTGCCTGGATCTCTCCCTCTCCCAGCCCTGCACGACCGTTGCTGGGAGAGGAAGAAAAGGAACGCGTTGCTTCCAAGCGTTACGTTCTCCTCTTTTCTCCCACTTGCGTTCCTCAAGGCAGGAGAAGGACTGCCCAATTGGGGGGAAAAATCACA